TGTGGATTAACCAGCAGATTTGCCCCGTGTGATAACGTCCTTAGTGTATTTTACTGTTGGGGAGCTGAGCTGCTTATAGAACCTTCTGTCTTATGCACTAAGGGCCTTTGCAGACTGCTAGAAATAGTGCAAATTGAGTCCATTTTAACTGCCCTGGATCAGTGCTAGGGAATCATGGGAATTGTATTTTTTTTTCTGAGACATTGAGCCTTCTCTGTCAGAGAGCTCTGGTGCCACAATAAACTACAGTTCACATGATTCCCTGGCACTGAGGCAGGGCAGTTAAAGTGGACTCAATTTGCACTATTTCTGTCAGTCTGCAAAGGCCCTAAAATAACTTTGCTGCCTTTAGATACTATTAACTGAAGTTTACCTGATACTGCCCATGTCTATACCTAATATCCAAAAAGGGGTCCCCTATTTTCACCTCAGATATCTGAGCTGCATCTTATATGATGCATGCAATACACAGAAGAGTTATATAAAAGAGATGACAACATGAAGGACACATGGAACAAAGGGCCATATGAAGATGAACCCCAAATTCTAAAAACTGAGGTAGAAGTTGCAATAAAGGAAATGGCAAAAAACAAGACTCCAGGAACAGATAATATTCTAATAGAACTGTTGCAATCCACACTGACAGAGCCAACTCTAGTGTCTAATACTAGCTGAGAACCTCACAGACCTGGAACAACTACTAAGGAAGATCAAAGAAGAAAGTGCAAAGACAGACTTACTGTTGAACATAAAGAAAACAAAAATAATGACCACAGAGAACTTACACACATTCAAACTAGACAATGAGGAAATAGAAATAGTAAAAGAGTTCTCATATCTTGTATCAAACATTGATCGGAATAGGGACTGCAGCCAGGAAATCAGAAGAAGATTAAGAATGGGGAGGGTGGCTATGAAAGAACTAGAAAAGATCCTAAAATGAAAAGACCTTATTCAGCACAAAAGTCAGACTCATGCAAGCCATTGTATTCCTTATTACCATGAATGGATGTGAGAGCTGGACAGTCAAGAAAGAAGATAGGAGGAAAATCAACACATGTGAGATGTGGTGCTGGAGAAGAGTGCTGAAGATTTCATAGACAACCAAAAGGACAAACAATGGGTCCTACTGCAGATCAAGCCAGAAATATCCATAGAAACCAAGATGACAAGACTTAGACCAGGGGTAGGCAACCTGTCCCCTTTAAGGGCCGAGGGACTTCAGCTCCCAGAATCCCAGGAGCTATTGGCCAACATGGGACTATTGGCCAACATGGCTGAGGCTTCTGGGAGCTGAAGTCCCTCGGCCCTTAAAGGGGAAAGGTTGCCTACCCCTGACTTAGGGCCTAAGCAGACTGCCAGAAATAGTGCACATTAAATTGAGGCACTGCCCTGGCTCAGTGCTATGGAATCATGGAAACTGTAATTTATTGTGGCACCAGAGTTCTCTGACAGAGAAGATTCAATGTCTCAGAAAAAAATACAGTTCTCATGATTCCCTAGCACTGAGCCAGGGCAGTGCCTCAATTTAATGTGCACTATTTCTGGCAGTCTGCTTAGGCCCTAAGACTGTCATATTTTGGACACATCATGAGAAGGCATCTGAGGAAGTAGAACTGAAGTCTACGAAAGCTCATGCTGCCAACTTCTTTATTTCAGTGTGTCAAAGATGCTACAAGATCTCTACTTACTGATTCTAAAGACTAGTACAGCTATATCTTTGAATTCTAGAAGATGAAGGTGTTGTTAGAGTGAGGACTGAAAGAGGTTGGCACCCTGTTTTTTATTATTATTATTTCTAGTAACTCTGCTCTCTTGAGTTGGAATTTCTGCTTGAAATTGGGCACAGCAACTACTGAAAACACACTCTCAAATATTGTCTGTGGCATCTAGCACAGTTATGGCTGTCATAGATACTCTGTTTTATTATTATAGATAATAATGTTCCTGGACTTAGGGGAACACCATTTAGTGCCTCACAAAGCAAAATATAGAGACACTCCCAAGTACCAAGGGTTCCCATTCCTCAACTCAATTATATTGATTCATGTTGACTTGAAAACTGTTGCAAGAGTAAAGGAACAGAAATCTAAAATCTGGTGCCTGACTCCCTCATTTTGGTT